AGTTAGTGGAAATTTGAATGTACTGCACAAATACTGCTGATATTGGAGAGAGGAGGAGGGGGAGGAAACTAGAAAAATGAGTCTAAAAATGTTCTACCACAAGGTCTTCTAAAGAACTTTATTGATGAATCCCAAAGGTAGCAGAAGAACACATTATTAGCATCCACCAGAGGTGCTGAATGGCTCTAAAAGCAGGGGGATGCATCCATCCCCATCAGCTCCAGGGAGCTGCAGAGCATTCAGAGCTGCAGCTGAAGCTGCCATTGCATAAATACAGTTTTGCATGAAGTACCAAATGTTGACTACATTAGGGACAATAACATTTGCAGTCCTAATCCTGAGTGAAAGCCTTTTTCCCCATTAGGTACCCCCATAAATAGTGCATGGCACTGGCTATTGACTGTCATAAGCTATGTGTCAAATTGTCAAATGAGCTTCTAAAACATCTCCTGCTGCATCCTCAACGTGGAAATATGAGTTTATGTGGGCATTGCTTGTCATATGATGAGATTTGGTTATTTGTTTACCTATTTTCAGATAATTCCTCTGATTTTTCATCAGCTTTGATGTAAAATTCTTCTTTTTCCCCCCAAGATTTTCTTTCCCTGACAGCCTGTCAGAATTATCTGCATTCCAAGACGTCATGAAGATTTTTCTGTATTAAATTAAACCACTTTTTACCAATTGATTGTACTTTCAGTTCCTCAAAGTCAGATATTCCTGTTGTTGTGCCAAGTATTCAGCTTTGAGTTAAGGACTTTTAAACATTGAAGATGTACACACACTCTTTTCTGAGAGTAAAATTATACAGTAAATTATGTAGTGTCCACTCTGGTACATTTTAAGTAGGCCCTCACAAAATGACTTGTACTTACATAAGATACAGAGGCTACAGCATATTTATTAAGACTCTTCAACTCTGTATGAAACTGGAGCAGTCAGAAGTAATGGTGTCTGCTGAAAGATTCTTTATCATATGAATTTACTTTTAGTCATCTATTATTTATTTCAGCTATTTTATATGCCATTATAATAAATATTATGACAGAGAAAGCTTTTATGCTTCAACTTATTGTACTGCTCTTCACTTCCTTGCAATCCTTCAGGAAAATGTAGCTATGCTTTACCTATATTTAACGTAAATCATCACTTACATTTGAATGAAAAATTCACTATGAAAAAAGGCTCCTTCTTCAATACCAAGACACAAATGCACAATCATGTTTACTGCCAAACTACTCTACCATGCAGTGTTCATTTTTAAACAATTTTTAGGCTGTAAAGTGAATGCATTGCATATAGTGAAATAGCTGTCTTTCTGGGGGTTTTCACTTTTGTGTTACTTTCTGGCTCAATAAGCATTTTTCTAGTATGAGTGCAAAGTATAGCCAATTGCACTTAAGCATTTTTAATATTTTTGCTCCAATAGGGAGCAGCTTACATACAAAACGGAATAAGCTGTTTTCTGGGGTTGTATAGAGTAATGAAATTTACCTGGAAATACTGATGAAAGACTTTTAGAACTGAGTGTGAAACATGAAATACAAGATAATTTTTTTTCTTTGGACTTTTCAAAGTGTTATTGTGTTGGGTTTAGAAGAGGACCTGTTTGGAACTGGAGATTGATTTGCCTTTGGCTGTTTCTTCAAAGGCACCACGTTGATGCCTGGACATTATTAGCCTTGAACAGCTCGTTGGGCTTCATGAAATACAAATATCCCCATCCCAAACTCAAACCTCCCAGCTGGCTCTGGCTGAGCTGGACTTCGCAGGGTTCAGCAGACAGCAGAAGTGTGCCCTGCCCTCGTGTCTGTTCTCCTTTGGCCACTTTGCAGAGCTGGTCTGGCTCTAGTCCTGAAGGGGTTTTGGATGCAGGTGGGACATTTGTCCTGGGTATCTGCAGCAAGGACAGCAGTTCATTTTGCACAGCTTTTCAATGGCACCATGTAGTTATGATCCTATGGTTCAGAAAAGAGCTTTTTAAATTACTCTACACTCATTTCAGTATCTACTTCCTTCTTAAATGATGTAATTGAAAAATAAAGTAGTGGAGGGAACATTAAAACCTTTTGTCAATTAAATTTTCAAAATTCTGGAGTTTCCTGCCTTAGTGTGCTGATTTGATGATGGCAGTTTAAAGACTGTCTCCTGTATTTGTGAAGGTGGCAAGTTTCATTTGAGGTTTCACAACATAAAATGAGGCATAATTCAGTACTGAAAACATGTGAAGTGAAGTAGTGAGAGACATCAGCATAATACAATTATGGCACATTAGATCAGGATTTGCAGCATACCATTACTAATCAGTTCTGACTGCAGAGAACAATTGCAGTTAAGATGCCTTTTAGCAAAAATGATTTTTAGTTTTATTTTTTATTAAAACCCCCTATGCTCTTGTATACATATCACAATATGTGACACCTAGGCTTCTAGGGAAAGAGGGAAAACATTATAACAGAGGTAATTCTGAGCTACCAAAAGAAAACAAACATAAAACCTTCTACTTGTCATTTAATGGAGATATTGTTACATTATACATACCTTGCAAGTATATTGCTTTATTCATAGGTTTTTTAAAAAAAAGGTATTGTGATATAAGTAACATGTAACAGTGGGAAAATTTGGAATAAAATTAATTGATTCTAAAGGTTTAGTATTTCACAGTCTCAAACTGTAGTAGGAATTGGTGGTCTACAGAAAACCTCTGTGGGGTGAGAGGTGCTGGATTCTCAGTTGATGGGAGACTCTGAAAGAAAAGAAGTTGGGGAACTTGCCTAAACTCATGGTACATTAAACTGATTTCTTCCCCAGTTGTGCCTGGAGAAAACACTCACACCTGGCTTCCTGAGTGCCTTCAGAAGCTGAGGTGTCAAGTTCTGAGTGTTTTGGATGTCCCATGCTCCAGTTTTTTCTGTGAGCAAAACAGTAAATGTATTTGTCTGTGCTCAGTATGTGCCTTCTGTGCCAATGAAGGAATACTGGCTGCAACCATCAAGGTTTTAAACAGAAAAAAGCATGGAGAAGTTTGAACAAAAATATGATTTTTAAATTTCTGATTTTTATGATTTCAGTATATCAATCACCAAATCAGGCCAATCTGAGTCTGCTTAACTTCTGTTTCAGAAAGTATTTTGGAGGCTTCATACCTTTTTATTTTTTTACTTCTGGACTTGAAGTACAGACACCTCTTTTCTGTTCCTGGAATAAGCAGCAGAAGCCTAATGTGTGACACCAAGAGGAAAAGCATTACCTGAGTGATGTTGCCTGGACGTGAATCCTTGTCCCCAAGAGGACAGTAGCTGACAGCTTGTGTTCTAGTCTGTTTAACTACTTGATTATTATGTTTTTTGACCCCTATCTGTCCCTGTATTTGTATCATTCTTGTCCTTTTACCCTTGGGAGGGACAGGAGAATATTTCAACTAAGGAAAGCAGAGGCAAAGTAAACCCAACCATGCACATGACTTCTGTAGTGAGTAACAGCTTTCAACTGCACAGTGGAAGAGAAACTGTTCTGGAGTTCTATTGCATAATGCAAGGCAGCATCATCTTTCTCAAGTATTTGACAATCAAACAGAAGAAAATATTTACCCAGCAGGGCAGAATGAATTCCAGAATGATGTGCATCTTGTGGGGGTAAAAAGATCTTTGTAGCAAAGTTTGGTTTAGCATTTTCCAACTCCAGCAATTGATACTTCCTATGGAGATTGAACCTGTTGAAATTTTAGTTGTGTTTATTTTGCTGTCCTGATAAGTCTGGCTGGAATGGGACTAGAGGAATTGGAGTGATATTCTGTTTAAAACAAACCTGTAAGGTTTGTCAGAATGGGTACTGGCAAAATAGAAAACAGGTGTAAGGAGAAAAGTGCCAGATGTAATTAACTGGGGAGATCAGATGGGCCACTGGAGCTTGGGAGACAATGGGAGAGTCTTCCTGACTTCCTTCAGTGCTGACTTTGTGCTGCTGTCCTTTCATTCCTCCAGCAGTGCTCATGGTATAACCTTGGAATCCCAGCAGGTCCCTGGTGCAACCACCAGCTGCTTGGTTCTGTGGTGATTTTAGTGTTGTGATGAAAATAGGTACACATCTTTTGGTTCATTTTGTTCTGAGATTTGGAGTTTCAAAATACCTGGAAAACAGAGATCTTAAAGCTGAAAATTGTGTTTTGGGATAGTGTGTCCTCTCCTAGGTGAAAAGTTTACTTTAGGTATATACAGAATTTCTTTTGAAGACACAGAATCACAGAATGGTTTGGGTTGGACCTTAAAGCCCATCTTGTTCCAGCCCCTTGCCATGGGCAGGGACACCTTCCACTATCCCAGGCTGCTCCAAGCCCCATCCAGCCTGACCTTGGACACTTCCAGGGACGGGGAATCCACAACTTCTCTGGGCACCCTGTGCCAAGGCCTCCCCAACCTATCAGGGAAGTGCATTTATAATATGTCCTGGTAAACTCTTACTGTATAAAGCACTGTGTAGACTGATCTGGTATTTTCTGTAGTCATTTTATACTGTCCTTTATATCACCCACTAAGGAAAATAGATTTTTTTTTGATTAATATGTGCCAATCTCAAGCTAGCTGTTTTTATAGAGTATTTGCTGGTTTTTTTTTTTTTTCTATTGGTATGGTTCAAAAAATAGTATGTGTTGAGAATAGCACTTACTCTACTTTTTTTTTTCATGAGTTACTTAAGTTTCACCATCAAAATCAAAGCAAAAAGATATCTATTAACCTTAACACTGACTTGAGTCTATTCATTGGATTATATAAAGCTGTGCATTACATAGTGTATGTTTTTAGCAGAATCACCAAATCACAAATGCTGCTTTTGGCACTAAATTTTGTGCTTGTCCATCCCTTTTGATGATTTGTATTCACTCTGGGGTTATAATGTTAAACAAGGGAATCAGACAAGTTTCATAACACATTTACTGTAACGTGATACTGTGAACTGAGCTTGCTGTTATTTATCCTTTTTTATATTTTCTCTTCTTCCAGCATAAAGCCAAGGTAGAGGCAATGACCTTAGACCTTGCTTCTCTTCAGAGTGTGCAGCACTTTGCTGAAGCATTCAAATCCAAGAATCTGTAAGTACTCATAAAATTAGATGTAATAATTTCTTGTTATTTTAATGTCTTTATCAGCTGAGCACAGTTGGCAGAATCACCATAGTTGGGTGGATCACCAACTGCAGTGAGTGAATAATCTTTTCACAGGAATTTTTTTCAATGTAAATTAAAGATGATTTGTTTTCATGCCAAAAAAAAACAGATCTCCAGATCATGCAAAAAAAAAAAAAAAATAGATCTCCTATTATTTGATGTGTAGCCCCACTTTTAAAGGGCTTTTTTACCCTGTGGCTGTTGAAAAAGACCAAAGCTGAATAGCATGAATACAGCTCAGGCAACTGTTAACAGTTTTGCAATGGTTTGGAAGAGGTCAGGGATGAACAATTAGTGCACTGCTTGTCTTACTTTGTTTTCTAACCTTCTCTCCCTCCTTTTCCTTTTTAAAGCTTTAAAAAAATATAGCCCTATGAGCCGGAGAGCTCCATTTTCCAAACCTATATGTGGAATAGTCTGTAATAAAAACAAGGAAAAGAAAAAGGGTTGTGATAATGACATCACTTAACAAGAGACAAATTGATATGAAGATAACTAGGTTAGATTCCAAGTGGTTTGTTTAATTTAACTTGAAGAGAGCAATGAATGTCTGAATTGAAGAAATTATTTGAAAGCTTTTAAGTTCCAAGTGTTGACAATAAATTCCACACTTCGTGCTTTTATACACAGTTGAACCATTGATTGTTGTGAGTATTCAAACTTAGCTATTTTCTGAAAGTATTTCTGTAGCTGATATGCATCTTACTGTTCTTCTCCAGAGAATATGACCTCTTAGCTTTGAAAATACGTTGTTGTAGAGAAAATATATAACAAAGAGGGCTTTTTCACTTTTGAAACACTGCCAAAGCTAAATCTCACATGGATAGACAGATGACATTTTAGTACTTATAGGTCTTTTAGATTCAAAGAATTGTCAAAACTGACTTGTAATAGAAGTTTCTTTACTGCCAAAATGCTTAGTATCAATATTTTCTTATCATGTCATCTTCATATATTAAAATTTCTTGAGAGACAAATCCTTGCAGTATTGCTGCTTTAGTAGTAACTTGGTTTGGTGGTGTGAGTGCAGTAAGTGTTTTAATTTGACTCTTCATGCTTTTAATATTCTACATTTCTTTAAGTGTATGGTGCAGTGGAAAGTCAAGACCACCCTTCTTCCAAATGCACCTCTTAGCCTGATTTGTGTGTTGTAGCTCATACCATGGTTGTCCTAGCTAGTCCATTAGGTATGCATGTTTATAAAACCTTGGAAGTGAACAGACTTAAATAAATTTTTGCCAGAGAAAATGAGATCTAGAATCAGTAAAACCTGTTTTGTTTTTGTTGGCATACCCCAGTCTACCAGTGTAGGTCTGTTAAGCTGCATTGTCAGTGATGGACAGGCTTTACTAATGTTTCCCTCTCATTTTATTTGGAAAGTAATTTAGTAATAGACAGCATCTAAAGCCTCTGCCTTCAGGCCTTTCTGTCTTAAATATGTGCTCAGATGTGCCTGTGTCTGGCAGGACTCATCCAAGCATTATGTGGAAGTCTGTGTTCTATATCGGTTTTGAGACTTCTGGGGTTTTGACCAAAATGAATTTCCAGTTATATTTTGTTTAAATTTTGTTTAAACCCATCTGGGGCTGGATGGAAACCAGAACCCATGCAGTGCCTCTAACACTGCACCTTTTATCTGATGCAGATACAGAAGAGCCACCTTACAATCACCTGCACTGGCAGGAGGGTGGACTGGAAGACCTACCAGGTCTTTCTGGCCTCTGATTTTTTTGTGATTTTAACTATGTCTGGGTAAGTTTGGAAGAGCAGTTATGTGGCAGAGGCGTCTTCTTGCTGCAGTGGTGGCTGATGTGTTTTCCAGCCCTGGTGAGCACTAATGACCTTTGTCTGCCTCCTCGTTCGTTGGTTTTGCTGCAGTGTCCAGAGGCTTTGTCACGTCAGGGATTCCTCTGCACCTGTGGCTTTATGAGCAGCTGGAAGGAATCTCACAGGCTCCAGTGACAGACTGAGCCTTGTTCTTTATGCTTGGGCCAGTCTTGTCAGATGGCAGCCAAAATGTCTGAAATGTCCTGTAGGAGAAGCACATTGTGCTGGAGTTCCCCCTTTCCCATGAGGGACCTGTCACTCCTGTTAATGAGCATAGGAAATACCTTAACAGAAGAAGTTTTTCTTTCTCTTACAAATTTCTCAACAATAAAGCAGGTAGGAAAAGCAAATAAAGTGGTGTGGGTTTTTTTTTTTTTTTTTTTTTTTTTTACTTTTTTTTCCTTTCCAAACAAAACTATCATTTCAATTCTGAGCTGTATAGATCTTGGTTCCTGGGAAAAACTACAATACTTCTGAAATGTCAAGGAGAAATTTTGTATGAGTGCACACATTTCAATAAAGACCTGCATTTTATTTCTCACAGCATTTAATGTGAAGAGGCCTTTAGTATTCAGTGGTGAACATCTTAAACTTCTCTGTGCAAGTAGTGATATTCTCTGTTTAGTTTCTCCAGTGCACTGTTGGTTTCTGGGACACTGGTATTTTCCAGAGCCTGTTGGTCTTGGTGACACATGACCTAATAACTGAAAATTTCTAAAATAGATAATAGATAGGCATGCCTTCTGAAATTCTGCTTTTCTGGCACACTTTGTGGCTCTAGGTGCTATTTTTTGTCAGCAGATGTAAGAGTGTGCTCATAGTCACATCACAGCCTGGGACCCTGTTCTTCCCTGGCTGATAGCAATTGGAAAATAGTCTTGAAGAATAGATCTCCTGGATGAGAAAACCAAAATGGAACAACTCCAGAAAAAGGATCCCTAAATTTTATTGAGTTAAAACCTCTTGCAGCTGGGGAAGCTGGGGGTGTTTGTATTGCAGAGAGCAGAGGGGAAATTGCTGAAACTGTGAATCTCTTGCCTTAATCAAATAAGTTGTAGGAAAAAAAAAAAGCCTTCTTGAATGTGCTTGGGAATCTGAGAGATTGTGGAAACCACGTGTAGAATGAAGAAATGTCATCCTCTGCTCAGCAGGATTTAACAGGGCTGGTTGCATACAGAAAACAAATGATGCAACAGAGGGAGCCTTGAGAAAAACATAAATAATAAACAGGAGGAAAGAGTTACTCTGAAAAGAAATATTTAATATGAATTGAAATAGTACTTTAAAGGCTAAGACTAAGAAGCCTTCCTTGTCTGAAAGTAAAAGTCAGATGATTCATCTATAAATTATCATACTTCTGAGATTTGGTAGAAATCTTTTATTCCTACATGGATATGTTAGGTGTTGCAGACTTGTCCACAGATAAAATCTGAGCTGTGAATATATAAACACTGGTAAATTATGCCATATTCCTATAAATGTATTCTGGAAAATCTTTCCTCCTCTCAGAAAAAAAAAAAGGTTTTTTTTTTTTTTGGGTTTTTTTTTTTTTTGTTTGCATTGTCTATACTCTTGAGTTGATACAGCTGTTTCTCTTTCTGATACTTTTTTATCCATGCAGAAGGGTTTTGCTGATTATTTTAGATCCTGCAGTTCTGTGATTGCAGCACTCAATTTTTCTGTAGGAGCAGGAGAGTGCCCTCCCTCACAGTTAGAAGGATTCTGTGGGCAAAATAAGGTAAAAACCTAAATTAGTTGGATCTCCAAAATCAACTTTGGGAGAAGACAGAATAAAACAATATTGCTGTTTAATATTTAATCTAGAATTGTAGCACAACCTGAAAACAGTGTGACTAACACATAAAATGGATGTCCAATAAAAAATAGTCCTCCAGGATTTATAGCACAAAATTTTTTGGAGAAAGCAGCCATCTTTTAGTGTTTAGTACTTCTGGCTTGTTTTCTGCAGAGACATTCCCCACTGGCTATTTCCAGCAGGAGTGAATGAACTCCATCTTCCTTCCTTGTGAAGACAGTGCTAACATTAGGATGAAAATGGGAAAAGAGATCTCAGTTCACCTAAATGGTTGCATTTGTTCAAGTTGCTTCTTTTATATGTATCAAGGCTTTCCCCTCTGCTGGTTTCCAGCTCAGGCAGTTCATTGAATGCCTCTGTTATGGAAAGTCAAATAAATGATCTGTTTATAATAATATTCTGGGCTAAGATGGATTTGGCATGAGCTGATTTTTGTGCAGCTGGCAGAGGCAGACCAAACAATCTTTCATATTAGTGTTTTGGAACTAAGAAACACTGAGCTGAATCTGCTATTCATTGAGTGGGCATGATGTGAGGAATTATGGTTGGTATTAATCCCCCTTAGAGACAAAATGACAGCCCTCCTGTGATTGTACAGAACATAGCATTGAAATTCAGTGTTGGATGGTTCAGGGTCTGTAGAATTGGTGTTTGTGTAGGAGTGTAGACTTGTGGATGTGGCACCTTGGTTTCTATTTCTTAGTTTGATCATCCCATACTTGGCTGAAACCTGCATACTTTAACTGGGGGACAGCACTGATATTTTCAGTTCTAAAACTTCCAAGGTAGGACCTGTTGCCAGTATTTACAGCCATGGTGTCCTGGCATTTGCCTGGACCTCATTGTAGGAACATTTCATGATCAAAAAACAGCAGGAAGGAGTGAGCAGCAAAGTTATAGATGAAATTTTATGTGCATTTGTACTTTTCAGTGGTGCATGGTGCCACTTGGTTTGAATTAAAGTTATCGTCTGCCAAACAGTAAGACTTTAATTTAATGTTCTCAGTGTTTGAGAGAAAAAAGCTGAAATCATCTTGAAAAATCTTGAATTACTCCAAAGACATGAAACAATGTTTGCCAATAGCTACTGCTTAGAATTTTCTGAATTGGTAGGAGCAATTCACAATTATGCAGGACTTCCAGATGTAGATCTTCACTGCAGTTACTTTCCTATAGTTTAAAGCAAGAACTTTTTTTCTTTTTTTGTGGTAAGAATTGGCATATGCTAACAGTTTATTCACTAATGATGTGTGTAGAAATATGGAAAAGACAGCAGTTATGA